TCCTGTTTTTAAAGTTTTTTAATAAAACCATTTCCTGTTTGAAAGTTGTTTCTTTAATAAAACCATTTCCTGTTTTTAAGTTTTTTGATAAAACCATTTCCTATTTGAAAGTTTTTTTAATAAAACCATTTCCTGTTTTTAGTTTTTTAATAAAACCTATTTCCTGTTTGAAAGTTTTTTGATAAACCCATTTCCTGTTTGAAAGTTTTTTTAATAAACCCATTTCCTGTTTGAAAGTTTTTTAATAAAACCATTTCCTGTTTGAAAGTTTTTTAATAAAACCTTTTCCTGTTTGAAAGTTTTTTTTTAAATAAAACCATTTCCTGTTTGAAAGTTTTTTGATAAAACCATTTTCTGTTTGAAAGTTTTTTAATAAAACAATTTCCTGTTTGAACGTTTTTTAATAAAACCATTTCCTGTTTGAACGTTTTTTTCTCCTTCAGTCCACCTTCTCCTTTGAGGCGGGTCGCAGGTGCAACTCCGGTGAGGGGAGCTTTGAGTTTGACACGAAACAGGGGAACGCCCTGTTCCAGTCCGTGGAGGCCGCCATCAACCTGCAGAAGATCTCCCTCCCTCACCGGCAGATCTCTAGTGGGGGCCATGGGGTGTCGGACATGGCCCAGAACCAGCAGAACCATCCAGCTCACAGTTGGGCAGCTCAGCCTCAGCCCCACGGAGTCCCACAAACCCCTGCTGCTCAGGTCAGCTGACATCACACCTAATGTTTCAAAGTAAAGGTATGGTTTTCAAAATTAAGTTTCTAAATCAGCAGGAAGTTCACATGAAACACATTTTAACTTTCAAAATAAAGGCATTGATTTTTATAAAAGCAGTATTTTTAGAGTAAAGGTTTTCATTTATAAATTAAAGGTAAGTATTTTCAAATTAAAGGCATTTGCAGCTGTGGCCTAAAGACTTTAAGTCTTGTCTGGTAACTCGTTAGGGAGGAGATCATTAGTCCAGACAGTTAACTCATTAAGGAGGAGCTCGTTAGTTCAGTCTGGTAACTTTAATTTGCTAGTCTGCTCTGTGAACTCGTTAGTGGCTCAGGGTTTAAAGAGTTGTTGTTTTCTACCTCCAGGCGGCTGACGTCGTGTACAGCATGGTGACAGCTCCTCAGAACCAGCAGACGTTTCACAACAAAGACGACTGCTCCAACGCTTCGCAGCAGCAGCGCCCCCCGATGGTAAGAAAGTGCATCCGCTGATTCATCACGAAACGTGTAAAAATCTTTCAGAGGCCCAACGATTATTAGGAGACTCATTCAGGACAACAAACTGCAGCTCAGAACATGTTTGTTTGATTAAAATAAAGTTAATCAACCCAGACCAACTGGTTTGATCGTAACTGGTTAATAGTTGATCCTTGATCGGCTTGTGTCTTGTTTTCAGTCTCGTCTCGAGCCTCCAGTTGATAAAATTTTGACCGGAGTAAAGAGTTTGACTCTGGACACTCGTGGAGTTCCTGTCCCCCGAAAAAACCAGGTCAAGATGATTTCCAGCTGTCCTCTGCCCAACCCTAGCCCAGAGTCTGGCTCCAATCTGATCCCGGGCCCAAACTCGAACCCCTCCCCCAACCCCCACCTCAGCCCCAAACTGAGCTCCAACTCAAACCCGGAAAAGATGTATTCACACATCAACATGCCCAGCGCCACTGGACGGAGCTCCAGGAAGGAGAAGAGGAGCAGCAGTAACTCTGCTCCCTGCACCACCCCTCTGATAAAAAAAGAGCCAGATTACTCCCTCCCCTTCGACACCATTGCCTCAAACATCATGTCCAACATTTTGAGTTTTCACCAGGCTGATGGGGATGAGTCCGGCCCAGATCCGCTGTATGACAGCATTGATGACATCAGGGTCAGAAACATCTTCCGAAATGACAATGACACCAAACCAAAGGTGGACCACATCTATGATGAACCTGAAGGTTGCGCCGCCACAGGGCAGGAGGACATGCATCTCTCTGTGGTGTATGATGACCCTGAAGAGATGCGAGGAAATGCCTGGAGGATTATGGGTACTCTTTCAGACCCTAAAGGCCACGAGTACCCCTATAACCCCCGAGTGGATGACTATGCTGTACCCAAACGACCCAAGAGGGCATTTGCTGCCAAACAAAACACCAACGAAGAAGAACAGGAGCAGAAACAGGAAGAGGAGGAGCCAGAGGAGGTAGTGGAGGAGGGAGAGGAGGAGGAGGGAGAGGAGGAGGAACAGGATTCACCGTACAAAAATGTGTTGAAGATGATTTAAAGATCACCCAGAACCAGAAAGCACAACTCATTCTGCCATCTCACCAACTCAACAAACAACCAACCAACTCATCAAACAACCAACGAAACAACCAACTCACTCACCAACCAACCAACTCATCAACCAACCAACCCACTCATCAACCAATGAACAAACCAACC